CCCGTCCCTTCGAAAAAAAATGAGGAAGAAAAAGAAAACAAGAAAGAAGGAAGGACGGAGAAAAGTAGAAGGAAAGACGCCCACATTTGGTAATTATTCATGACGAAATTGACTCAAACTGCATAAGTGCATAAAGGTGCTTCAAAAATTCGAGAATTTTCGAAAGGAAGCCCCTGGATCCCCCCTCCTGCCCCCCCCCTTCGGACCGATTATTGAAATTGATAGACAAAGCTATAGACAAAGAAGACAAAATGAAAATGAAGGGATCTTATTGGTGAAAACGGGTGGTTGCAATGGACAAAGGAGGTAGGTAAAGACTAACTAACGGTAACCCACGAGAGACCCTTTAATTAGTCCATCATTTTCTCCCCTAGTCTATACAAACTACCCATTTCAACCAATAGGATCGTTCCAGACTACCTGTGTCTTCTTTGTCTATCGCTTTGTCTATCAATTTCAAAAATCAGCCCGTTGGTGTTTGGATCCGCCTATGAGGAACAACGACAAAATATTATCAAGAAGGTGTTTCCTTGACCTCGTAAAACTCGAATTTTGGGCTACAGATTCTTACGTATGGCGCATTTTTTCACGAATTCGGACTGATCAGCGATAAATCGTCACATCGTCACATCGTCACGAGATTCCCGCCGAAGCAGAATAACCCGGGGCCTAACCAAGCGCCCGAGCAGTGATCGAAGGTAGGAGAGAGGCTGTGGCACGAATTGTACAGGCAATCATCGGATTATCGGAAAAGACCAACGCGAATTATTAGACGCGAAACGCGTTACGTTTCCCTTTCGGCTGTGCCTAATTGTGCAAAGAAAACCAGGGAAAATGCCCCGTTGCCAACACCCTATTTTTGCGCTCACAAAGACCACGGCGAACAGTGGATCGAGGCGATGAGAGAAGTCGCACAAAATTTGGAATCTTTAACAGGGTGTCTAGTATTTTTTAATTTTGAAAAATCCTGATATTTTCCTGATATTTTATAAAAAGAATTCTTTATTTTTTCATTTTGAAAATTCCAGATTTTTCTCGTAAAAACTATATTCATTGCATAAATACATGCGGAAACTAAATTTTCTGACAAAAAGAGAAAAATTCCTGATAAAACGTCCGATTTTTCCGACTTTCCTGATATTTTCCTCATTTTTTCCTGATCGGCCAAAATTCCTGATATTTTCCAGTTTTTCCGGTTTTTCCTGATGCTAGACACCCTGTTTAAAAGCTTACAACTCCGTTAAATCGAATCTTTGAGATTTTAAAAACGGTTTCATTGGTTTCCTCGTAAAATTTTCTTTTAAAATCACTCCTCGAGCTTTAAAATATGATGAATGAAACATCAAAATTTGTAGTTTCAGTCAAAAATTTCAAGTGCGACCTCTCTGATTTACTCGATACACTGTGTGGCGGCAGCGATACATTGTGATTCTGACCTTCCGACTGCGTGGAGCCATCAAAGTCTGATTTTCCGACTCGTCGATAAAGGTGCTCAATGGGCACCACGCCCATGGCCTACGCCCGCGGGCACGGGTAACAAAGTATGTTACCAACGGGTTGATTGTTGAATCGTAATCGAATGATACCGATCGATAAATCCCTATCTTGGCAATGCTGTATATCGATCAAGGTCATTCGATATCGATTCGACAATCGACCCGCTGCCCAGGTTTCTGGCTTAGAAAGTGCAATGGGATCCATGAACGCGACCTAATCGGTATTTGCATTCATTTGAACGTATATCTGCTGATGGTGATGGAACCAGAGACAGGTAGGAAGAAGGGGTGTGCACTTTAGCCGAGGGCTGTAAGAATGAAAGCGCCAATGACGTCAGCGGCGACGAAGCCGTCGGTTGCCTGTGGTCACCTCAACCTAATGAGCCCTGTAAACAACGCTCTAGTCCCATGCCCACGGCTCATGAGTGCAGCATACAATGGAGATGTTGCATGTGTGAGGAATTTGCGATTTGACTGTTGACTCATGTAAAAGTTCGCGAGAAACACGATGGTGCCACTGGTTTTCTCTGAAATCAACTCCCAAGCTCATAAGAAGCTCTCAAGTTGAGGCCAAAATGGAGGGGATATCCAACCCTGCCCTGAGAGTCCACGTCTATATCAAAACAAAGTCCCCAAATAAAGTGGCAGCCCCGTCAATGTATTTGCTCCCTATCTTTGCATGGAGAGTTTGTTTTGATGTAGAGGTGGACTCTCAGGATAGCGTGGGATAACCCCTCTATTTTGGCCTCAATTTCTCGATTTTATTTTTCGATCGATTCACGTCGATCGACTGAATTCTTGATAATTTGTCTACCAATTCACGGCGATAGATTCACGATTTTATTTTGCGATCGATTCATGTCGATCGAATCCATACCATATCCACTTCGGACTTAATTGCACGGGAACGCGAAGCGGGGCGGCACCACGGCGGGGAAAATTCCGGCAAGACAGTGATTTGGACACTTTTCTCTCCATCAATATATCAAAATAATTTCGCCCGAAAGATTCGTTGGAAAAGAGGAAAGAGGGAACTGCTCGAAATAATTGACGGCACTGATCTACGATCTACGGCCGCGCATCAGGACCAGGGCCCGGGCTACCGATTGAGCTGAAAAGAGGAGCCGCCGTAATTTGAGGGAAATGAATTACTCGCGGACGCACAGACTAATCGAACACCTTAATCCGGGTTTCCTTCCTCATGCTTTTCTTTTGGGAGATTCTGCAAATAACACGCACGAAAAGATGGGCCGATCGGATTGGAGAGAGGGCCGTAATTTGAGAGAAAGATGAGTTGCGGACGCACAGACTGCTCGAGCACCTTAACCTAAGTTTTCATTCCAGTGCTTCTTTTCTGCGAACTATTATTCCGCGAATAACGTGTGAGGCGCACTGAGTCTAAAGGAAAGATATCCAAGTTATTCAACTTTCGGAAAATCGAAAAAATTGGCATTTTGTTACTATTTATTGGTCGATTTCCTTCACTGGAAAAAAAAAAAAACACATTGGATCTATAGTCCAGACTCTTAAAAACATCGACAAAAGAAAGTACTCTTGATTCAATCAGAATCTAGCTTAAATCAAGAACCAAGCCTCTTAATTTAACCGGATTTCGTTTTGATTCAAGCAAAAATCCGATTGAATCAAGAGTATTTTTTCTTGTCAATGTTTTCAAGAGTCTGGACTCTAGATCCAATGTGTTTTTTTTTCCAGTATTACCAAACAGCGCCTATTGATTGCAGAAATCAGAAATTCCAGAACTGAAAAATGACGGTTTCAAAAATAGGAAACAAAATTGTTTTGGCCTGACTATGATTAGGACGTATTTTTGCTAGAAAGGACTATTTACAATGAGTCTGCGTGCAACATAGTTCCTTTGAGCATGAATACGTCCATTAGTCGCAGAATCGTACACATATTCTTCGAGTTTTTTCGACTGTTCAGAAGTGAGAAAACCACTGAACGCAACTATTCGTGCTTTCAAGCCGCTCATATTGTCATCACAGTTGTTGAAGGCGAAATCGACAGAAAGAGAAGCACGCAGTAAAGGTAAATTTCAGGAAAATATGGGGGGATTATTAGAACGTAATCACACACACACTTTACAGTTTTGACCACATCTGTAAACTTTCATTTTCCTACTAAAAGCGCAGGAATTTTCTACGAAATATATATAGCCCTATATGGCCCGTAACTTATTTTTTAGTGTAAACATTTCTAGTTCATCCAGGATTGCTTCATACTGCGTAGAAAGGCTCGAGGAAGAGAGCCAATCATTAAAAAATATGAAACCCAAGAGATTTTGAAAGTCACCGCTATATTTGAACGTGGTAAGTTTAATGAGAATACTTGCCACCAGAGGCATATTTCTTAATGTGATCATAGATACGTCTGATCCATTATTCATTAATTACGTAGATTATAAATTGCTTAGCTTGCTCAATGAGTTGAGTTTGCGATGGCGATTTCGAAGGAAAAGCCACGTGGTTTTAAGATAAGAATAAGACTTTCATTTCATTACTTTTGCGTATAGCATTGGGATTATTTTGAAATTACACCAGACACACGTACTTCTTAAAAGCACTTTAGGGTATAAAACGTATGGAAATTACGGTATGTTAACATGGGTATTGGACATTATACGATGGACATTTTTACGACTGAACAATTTAAACCGGACATTTTCACTGATCGTGAGCACCAATAGTGGACCTACATTTTGGTCATGCCTGCTTGACTCTCGGGCCAGAAGTTCGGACTTCGGTACGCACCCTTCCACTGATCGCCCGACGGATAAAACTAATAAAAAGAAAGTGGAGGAAGATATGATTCACCACCACGTTAAATGACAAACGTCATTTTACTCAAATAACAATGTATCCATTAAAATAAGACGTGGAAACTCTGCGTTCGGAAAAATTAATTGAGGGGCTTGGAGGGCAAGGCGCATAAGCGCAGGTTTTGAAAAAAATGTAGATACCTTTTGATGATTTCAAGTAAAAATGGTCTTAATGCCTTTTCTGTGAAAAATTCGCTCCTTAATTCCAATTTTTAAGCACTAACAAGTCAGTTTGAACTTTCTTTCCGCCATATGGATCCGTGTGATTTCGAAACTTTAAACACGTATTTCTCGAAGTAGCAAAAACTGCACCTATGCACTTTGTCCTTCAAACTCCTCAATTGAATCAGTGAGAGCGAAAACACACCAACTCGGTAACTCAAAAATGCTTAACTTTCATTAAAGAGAGTCAATTTACATAAAGGTCATTGAAGTTAACGCATCTGTTCCAACTTGGACTTTTAAAGCGTCCTTCAGCACTTGTCTTGCGGCACCAAACTTCTTTTTCTTGTACCAACTTCTTCAACTACTGTGCAGTTTTGCATGTTTCTTGATTATTTTCATTTTTTCGAGTTGGTGTGTTTTCGTTCTCACTGATTCAATTGCTGCAATGATTAGATAAACCCGTGATAAATGGAGGCAAAGCGTTGGAAAATTTTGCTCACCTGAGATTCTGGTTGAGTAGTTGGCCGATGGTGGCATGATCGTCCTTGGCGTCATCCTCTTCAGTCGTTTTGACGACGATCGGCTCGATGCCGGCCGAATCCCCGCGGGTTCCGTCGTTGGGGTTGTTGAACATGTACTCCTCCAGGTCCCGGAACCTATCGTGCACTTTGTTCGTCACAAAGTACGTCCTTGTACTGCTCCTCACTTTATCCAGCTGCCCGCCTCCCGAATTATTCTGCACTGACGCGTCGCCCCCCGAGTTCCGCTGGAGGAACTTCCTCCCGAAGGAGTTGTAGATGCTCCTCACCGAGTCCACGCCCTGGTCGCCGTACTTGAGCCGGGCGTGGGCCGGCAGGGACTGGAGATGGTGACCGCTCATGCCGATGTCCAGCTGGAGATCGATGACTAGCACCAAGGTGAAGAGCACCGCGGAGATACTCAGCCCGATCACCAACCGCTCCCGCAGTTTCATCTTACGCGGCCCTAGGGCGGTTGGAATCTTACCCCTCGCGTGACCTTGAACGCTCCCTCTCGCGTGACCTCGAGCGCCTCCTACAGGGTGGCCTTGAGCACCGCGCGACCTTGAAAGTTTCGCACTTGGAACCGCAGCCCCGAACCTCGAGTAGCCCGCGTGGCTGGGAGCGACGCCGTGGATCGAAGGGTTCCTGCCTGGTTGGAAGGCTAGCAGATGACTGATGGCCTTATCGCTGGGTTTCGGCGGCCGTTTGAAATTCGCGCCGGGCTCAGCGGTTTTCGCCGCGACCTTTGTTTCGCGCGCGTCGCGAGCGCTGGTCTTTTCGCTGAGTCGCTCCGAATGCGTCAACCGTGTTATCGGGCGATCCGCCTCGTGAGCGCCGCGGCCTTGACTTCCTGGATCACCCTTGCAAAGGCGACTCTTGGACAGACCGACGGAGTACAAGTCGGAGAATCTTCCGAAGAAAGCGCGGTCCGATTCCTTGAGATCCCGCGGTTCCGCGCTATTACCGACGCACTCTTTTCTAGAATCAAGAGGTGGGGAATGTAAGTTATTAACGGTATTATCTTTAACACAGTTTCCCAACTCAACAATATTTCGAGAATCCGCACTATCATAAATATAAGTACTGGTGTCACTTTGAAATCCGTCGTAGTCGCACTTAACACCGGTGGGATGCGTGTGTGGGTGAACGCGGGTGGAATGCTGCGAGGTGCATCCGTCGAGATTCCCCGTTGAACTTTCGTTGGAAGAGCGTTTTTCCGACGAGTCGCACTCGTTTTCCGACTGCGAACTGTCTCGCGCGGCGAACCACTCCGCGGACACATGCGTCGCCCGGTTGCGACACTCGGATAGTCGGTCGGAATTTTGTTTGAACAAATACAATAACGATTCCGGCTCCCCGCTCGAGTTTCCGCGGCGCAAGGTGTTCTTTGTTGACAGTTCCGTTGACGATCCACCGGTTTCCGTTGTCGCTGGGCCCCGGGCGAGGATCTCCTCCGGGGGCGGCGAGTTTTTCGCTTTAGCGCTGATCGCCCTCGGTGACTCACCGGTGAGCGCGCGCTTCACCTTTGCGGCGCATTCTACCAACTTGTTGCGTGACTTGCTGACGGCTCCGTTGAGCGCTTCCGCGTCGTCACCAACGTTGACTCGAGAGCGCGGGTCGAAGGAACACATCCAAATCCACGGACACGACCGCAAGAGGGCGCCACTACCCAGCACACATCAATTTTCCGGGCATAACCACAACAAATTATAATTTTTAAAACAGAATTGTATACTATTCGGTGAGTGAGCGACGTATTTACTGGTAGGCTATCAAAAGACGATTTTTTTAAAAAAAAAAAAATTATCGAAGAGATCACGAATATCACCGCACTTTCGCGCGCACCTAAAACGGTACTTCGAAAACAAAACCGGAGCAGTCTCAAAACATGTTAAGCACTAATTAATTAAAATTAATATGGACTGTTGAATGTATTAGTAAAGTTGTCAGTGAGCCCCCCCAGCCCCGAACCGGATCGGAGACAGGTTCCTCGCGGAGCTGCTGCTTACGACACATGGGAGACCTGGCGTCGAGGACACAATATCTTCCGCTTTTTCGTCCAAAAGTATTTCCGTTTTCGGGTCGTTTTCTTCGAGCTGTAGAAACTGCAGGCTCCCGCACTACTTGCCATCGGTGCTTGCTGACTACGACCGAAACATTGTGAGGTTACCCCCCGCCCCGCCTCAACTTGGGCTGATAACAAAGGTGAAAGGTGACGATGATAACGACACTACTTCACGGTGCAGAAAATGACCGTTTTCAAGCTTCCATTACACGCCGAACTAAGCAGTCGCACTAATGTCGCACTATGAGGGAATTAATCGATTAGACTATGATAAAATTCGCACGGTTGCTCTTTGAAAATTTTCACCACGCACAGTTATGTATCCCATGAAAAATGCACAAAACCGTCGCGCGATTCTTACGAAACAACTTGTATGATTGCGCAGGTAAAATACCCAGAGATTTGCATAATTTGAAAAGTGGCTGGTGTATTAAATTTTCTTTAAGCGTTTTGCATAACGCTAGAGACAACAATGATCGACGAGATAAAAATAATCCTCAAGATAGTATATCGCCGAGAATTGTCACTAACAATAAGATGAGTTTAGAATCACACGTTAAGCTCGTGTTGATAACGTTCTGACGCCTCTACCGAGAGGAGAATGTTCTTTCTTCGAGGGAGATGAAAAATCGAAGACATTTCGTCACGTAGATGGTAGACTCCAGAGATCAGTCCAACAGACACGCATCTGCAACAAAAAGAAGAAATATGGATTTATTAATAGGTGAATAATGAAATTATGAGACGCTCAAGCAAACATGAATTTCACATATACACTGGGAAAAAAACACATTGGATCTGGAGTCTAGACTCTTAAAAACATCGACAAGAAAAAAAATTCTCTTGATTTAATCGGATTTTTGCTTAAATCAAGAACCAAGCCTCTTAATTTGAGCGGATTTCCTTTTGATTTAAGCAAAATCTGATTGAATCAAGAGTATTTTTTCTTGTCAATGTTTTCAAGAGCAGTCTGGACTCTAGATCCAATGTGTTTTTTTTTCCCTCCGTGTAAGTAGTCTGATTGTCATTGACAGTGATTGATAGCATCACATTATATAAATTTCAAGTCTTATTCTCTTGTATACTGTCGTGCTAAGGAAGAGCGCCGTATGAACATTCCAGAGTAGCCAAATTTCCTTCGATAAAATGTTTATTTTTGAGGCAAGTAATGAATATTTTTCCTTGAAATTTTAAGAAGCTTAGGGTGAAATTGCGAACAAAATTATATGAAAAATCGGAAGAAAAATATTCATATCTTTACCAGAAAATTCATGTTTTATCAAAGGATGTTTGGCAACGCCTGAAGTTTCATACGGCGTTTTTCCTCAGCACGGCAGTACACGTAATCATGAGAGTAACGCGTAACGCATGACGCCTGAGACGCGAAGCGCTTCGAAGGGTTGGACCGCGGAGCGGTCATTATAAGACAAATTTGTTGAGAGAAACTGCAAGATTATTTGTTTTTTATTGACTTAATTTCTTTTGAAACATCCATAAAACAAAAAACACCGTTCAGTAAGCATTTAAAGTCGCAGGTATTCTGTGACGAGAAAATTCACAGAAATATATTGATCTTGAAGCCGTATACTGCCGTGCTAAGGAAAAGCGCCGTATGAACCTTTAGGTATTGCCAAATTTCAATTGATAAAACACGAATTTCCTCGTAAACTTATCGATATTTTGCTTTCAATTTTTCAGATAGTGTATTTCGCAATTCCTTTTGAAGCTTCTGAAAATTTCAAGGGAAAACATTCGTAACTTTTCTCAAAATTAAACATTTTCTTGAGAGAAATTTGGCAACTCTCAAATGTTCATACGACGCACAGTGGTTTTTTAGCGGAAAAAACCCCATTTTCCGAAGATCATTTATTTTCAAAAAAAATGTTATTTTCCAACACNTTGCTTTACGGTTAAGTGTTAAATTGAAAAGTTTAGTGTATTTGATCACAGAAAACTTCATAACACAGCAAAGTTATCCCTCTTATCCTCTTACCTCTTATCGCCTATGACAGCGGGATTTATTATCAACCCCCCCCCCCCACTGGTCAAGAACTTTATATATTTTTGATTTTTTGTGATAATGTTTGTCTGGTATAGGTATTTAAAGATACACAACGGTTAATATCCGTAATCGTTGATTTTACTCATGGTTATGAGGTTTTTTCCACTTTTCCCATAAGAAGGAACCACTGTGCGACGTTCTTCCTTAGCACGGCAGTATAGAAATGTAAGATTTTGAGCAAATGAGAAAACAGGGTTGTCGGATTCCGATTGCTGAGAAGTTTTCAATTCTGTCGAGATGAAGCTCACCGGGCGATTTGGCAAGCTTATGAATATTTAGACGCCAGAACTGGGGAAATACGCTTACATATCTTAGCACAGGAGCAAAACCAGTCAACAAAAACTGACTGCCGAACATCGAATGACCTTCATTTTTGCGCGATGCAGGGACCACGCAAGAAGAGAAAATCGGTATTCATTCCGACGCCTACCTCATCAACTTGCTCATGCCTCTGATAATAAATCGACTCCTGTTCAAAGTATTTCTTGATTTAGCCGTCACACGCGCGGTACTTAAGAGGTCGATGTGTCCCCTCCATTTGAACAACTATGTCTGGGGTATCAATACTCATTGAACTTGAGACCAGTGGTGATTCTTGAAAGTTGGCAACACTGTGTTTCCACCGTTTAAATGTATATAAAACAATCGATTCTTGGTGAGGCAACCTGTCTCACCTAAAGTCGATATTTTCAATGGATTTAAATGGAGGAAAAACAGAGTTGCTAACTTTCAAGAATCACCACTGGTCTCAAGTCCGATGAGTATTGATACCCCGGACATAGTTTTTTAAATGGAGGAGACACTGAAAAAGGGACTTGCTGATATGTATTACCGCGTAAAGAGCGGCAGATTCAGCAAAAACTTTAAATTAACTTAAGTACTTAACTTAAGGCTTAACTTAAGTACTGCAGAGGATCATTCCCATCCCGTCGTTGGAGAGTGCGGCATTGCAAACTTTCGGCCAGTACACAGAAAGTCAAAAAAATTGAGACTTTTGGTTAAAGCATTCAAGATATTAATGAAAATCAGAAAATGACAAATTAGGGAGAAAAAAAGTGCTAATTTGGGGAAAATGTAGCCACGGCGTCTCCTTAGGGGCCTCCGCAATAAATTCTTTGATGTCGATTGTGACGTCACAGTACATGACAAACCTGGTCTCTTCATCATATGGCTGCCAATTTCTTATGGAAAAAGACAGTGTAAACGATGAAGAGACCAGGTTTGTCTTGTACTGAGACGTCACGAAAGTAGTGGATCCGTTCTTGCGTAAACGTGACCGTTTTGAAAATCCGAATTTTCGAGCGTTTTTAAGCTAATTTTTTGGGGAGTTTCCAGGGGTCATAAAACTCCAAGAACAAGAATATTCCGGAATTAGGATCCTTCGTTCTTTCGATACAGGCAATAAATGAATTGGGCAACAGGCCCGTTTAAAGTTGGAAAGCGTAAATTTAACGTGGAAACTTAGATGAGACAAAATTTGACGTGAGACTGACCTACACAAACACAGCGAAGTTACTGCAAGTATCTCTGCGAACAATCAGTTCGACTAATGTCATCGCGAGGGAACCATTACGCTGAAAGGTTCCTGGTGATTAGATGTTCGAGTGCCATCATGAATAATTTTCTAAAAACAAACTCCCACACGACAGCGCCACAAGCGTCGATGCAGGGAACTGAGTCATTATGAGATTGATTAAGAGGCCACAAGCACAACCACTTCAAATCCACTCCTATCTTTCCAACAGGCTCGGTGCTACAACTTATTTATTACACAGGATGTCAGATTTTAAATAAAACTAGACGTCGCGTCGCTCACATGTGCAGCACTGGAAAAAAAACACATTGGATCTAGAGTCCAGACCCTTCAAAACATCGACAAGAAAAAGTACTCTTGATTCAATCAGAATCTAGCTTAAATCAAGAACCAAGCCTCTTAATGTAAGCGGATTTCGTTTTGATTCAAGCAAAAATCCGATTGAATCAAGAGTATTTTTTCTTGTCAATGTTTTCAAGAGTCTGGACTCTAGATCCAATGTGTTTTTTTCCACTGAGAGAGAAAGAGAAGAACATAATTTAATTTTCACGAATATGTTTACCAGCCTTTATTGTCTTATATCTTCGCCATTGTACCAAGGAAATCATGAACGTGTATTTGAGCTAGTGATGTAACATATTTCAAAACAAAAGGCGACTCATTGAAGCAGGTGAAAGAAAGGAGGAGTAACGTTTTGGGCCTTTTCCGGCCCCACCTGGATTTTGCTAAATGTTTCATATTTTCAAAGTACTAGTCTTAGGTAGACTCTGTGCCAAATATTAGACCGAACGGAGCCCATGCAAGGGCGCAGCAGCGCCTCAAACCCAAAATCCTGGAATCGAAAAACAATTATTTTCGTCGACTTTTTCGACTGTTATCACTCTTCCAGCACATGATTCCTATGTATTTTTTTTCGTACTTTTCGTTTCTGGCCTTTTTAAAGGCCTCCGATAAATTTTAAGGGGCCTTATGGCCCATTGTTGCCATTTTTGGCCCATTTTTAGGGGTTTTTTCCATTTAACACATTCAAAACTCAATTTAATCCAAAAACTGTGTACATTTTTGAAAAGTACGTAAAAAAATGAATAAACAATGTTCAGTAAAATTTTTTCCTATGTTGCCAAATTTCCGAGAAAATTGGTCCCAAAGTGTCAAAAACGGCAAAAAAATCGATAAATCGCCGCGTCTAAGGTTCAAGAAAGTGGAGTACATTTTTCATACTGTACCAGATAACAGCTCTTATCCATCCATACAACATACTAAAATATCATAGTTGTACCTGGATTCCCACGGTGTGAAAATTGACCGAGATGTCGATTTTAGCGGCCTTTTTATACTTGAAGGTAGCTCTTTTGAATGTTTTTCGACCTTAGTCACCCTCTATGGGTGTGTACTATATGTATTTTTCTACGTACTTTTCATATCTGGCCATAAAAATGGCTTCCTGTGAATTTTAAAAGGCCTAACGGTCCATTGTTGCCAATTTTCACCAATTTTTAGGGTTTTTTTCAAGTTTACGTGTGTGAAGCTTAATTTAATCTAGAAACCGTGTACAATTTCGGAAAGAACGTAAAAAAATACACAAAAATGTGATTTGTACCTTTTCCCTACGTTGCCAAATTTTCGAGAAAAATCGTCCTGAAGCGCCAAAAATGCCAAAAATTGGATTAATCATCCTGTCGGAGGTTCTAGGAAGTGAATTATGACATTCATGTGGATCGTCGGACACTTTCTCCACGCATTTTCTGTTGTTCGGTACATTTGGCCCGTAGCAAGCATCTTGAGAACCAAGGATTATCTCGAGGTTACAGGAATAAAAAGGTGAACTGGATTGAAGGATAAAGTAAAAGCACCTTGAGGGCCCGTTTTGTCACGTTCATCTGCGCCATTACATGTTCCTTGAGATGCATTGCAATTTTCCATTTTCGATACGTTATTTGTAGTGAAAGAAAACTTGAAATTCACTTCTTGGAACCTCCGACAGGATGATTAATCCAATTTTTGGCATTTTTGGCGCTTCAGGACGATTTTTCTCGAAAATTTGGCAACGTAGGGAAAAGGTACAAATCACATTTTTGTGTATTTTTTTACG